CACACACACACACACACACACACACACACACACAGCTTCTGGCAAATACAAAAAGGTCCTCTCTGAACATCACAACGTTTTAATTGTGCTTCCGTAACCCCTTAAAATACACTTTTGTATTCTTAGTAACTTTCATTATTATTCAGTTTTTCATACACAGTACATTGGGCATCCCCCAACGAGGCTTTAGTCAGAGTCAAAATAAAATTACCAGCACTGTAATGAAATTATTTTTCATTTTATTGGGGAGTAATGAGCTCCAACGTAGCGGATATTTGTGTGATCCAAATGATCAAAAATCACAGGACTCGAGTTCAGTCACAGAAGGTAACAGACTGTGTCTCAAACTGATTAACTGGAAAATCCCTGTTATTCCAAATCTTTACTAATCTTTCTGATGACTACACTGAGAAAAACTGCATAACTTTGTAGTGACAAACCCACCGGTGAGACACAGCTTATTATGAGGTTATCAGAAAGACCCCCAGTTTCAGCAGCACCTCAGCGTCTGTCAACAGGTACTGCTCTACACTAGGCAGGCTTTAAAGTAGTGAAGGGCAGGACCACTGACAGAGCACAGAGGGGAGACGTCTATGACATCTAATTAAAGCAGGATGAGATATGAAGCAGACACGAAAGAAAAGACTGCTGGGACTAACACGCTGATAGCCTGCGTCTGTGCTTGCTTTGTAAACAAATGTTCCAACTTCAATGATAAAAATTGATGATTAAAAAAAAAAAAAATTGACTCTGAAAATTAATCATCAGCAGATCTGTGTCACGAGTACCACAGAAGGCTAAGCTGCCAGAGTCATCCACTACAGCTGTGACCAGACGTTTACAGAGGCTACAATCATTTCTTTTAACTGTTCATTCTCTGGGTGAAATTATTGTACAGCATACATCTTAAATAAACAAAACAAACATTTTTATTTTTCTGTATTCCACAATAATGTATATTAATAAGCAGTGCTGAACTTTCTACAGTGTTTTTAAGTTGATGAGAAGTTAATATTGTGACTGACGACAACTGGCAGCTTCTCTTTGTCAACATAATGAAGAGCATTTGTTTGACAGCACTTACTGGACTGACCAATCCGATGAGTGTGGTCATTAGATTGACCTTGAACCTTCCCGAACAACAGGAAAGTCTAAGGAACTCTAAGGCTACGTTCACACTGCAGGCAAAAGCGCATCAAATCCAACTTTTCTGACCCATGCGACCCATATCCGATCATGCTATGACAGTGTGAACGGCACAAATCCGATATTTTCAAATCCGATCTGGGTCACTTTCGTATGTGGTCCTGAATCCGATACATATCTGATGTTTTAAAAGCGGCTGCTGTTTGATGGTCACGTCGCATTAAATCCGTCTTTTACGTCACTGACACAAGACAGACGCCAATTATCAGCGCCGGAGAAGACATCGTGAACGCTTCCTGTCCATCCAGTGAAACTGTTGGGAAGACAACGTTGGAGAAACGTGAACATTTTCTTTGTACTGTATAATCTGCAGATTCTGACAGAAATCTGCAGCTATCCTTTGAAGCAGCGCTCCTCTAAAACAGCAATAAGGATCATTATTAGGCCAAATGTAAAAACAAAATAACTTTATAACTTAAAGCAAAATTGGGAAACGTAAAGTCCGAAACAAGTCTTTATATTAAGGCCATCAGTCAAACAATACTGTTGCTCTGGGTCTAAACAGAGCGCGTTGTGTGTGACGTCTTCTTTTGTGCATGCGCCGCTTTGAGCGTTCACACTAGAGCGCGTTTGCTGTCGCATTTTATTTGTAGTGTGAACGAGCAGACAAAAAAATAAAAAAATCTGAATTGAGCATCAAGACCTGCAGAGTGAACGTAGCCTAAAATCTAAGGATGAGAATTGTGCATTTACACATTGGGAAGATCCCTTGAAGCCATTTCTAAACAACTGCAGATTCCACGATCATCAGTTCAAACAACTGCACTTAAGTACAAGTTTATTTGGATGTGTGACCACAAAGTCTGGAGGAAGACCCAAACAATCACCCTCAGATGACAGGAAAGGGATTAGGATGTTCAAGAAGAACACAGCACGAGTCAAACGCCTTCTGGAGAAAAGTTTGACAGTCAAACAAGACCAAGATTGAGCTGCTTGTTTTGAAAAACAACTATTTCAGCTAACTGGGGACATTATCGTAACTGCAAACTGAAGTTAAACGAGTGAGGAGAGTACTGAGTAAGGCTGTTAACAAGTGTGTGTCTGCTGCTGCCCAATCATTGAGAGTGCGCCAAGATAAGGTGGGAGTGTTTGCAGAAGCTACATACAAGCATATCTTGGGGAGGGGAAAAACAAAGAGTCCCAACATAAAGAAAAAGGTCCTGCTGGAATGCATTTGTAGAAGCTTTCCACACACACCAAACGTCTGAGTTTCTACATGTATGAATGCAAGCACAGGCTGGAGTAGTAACATTCCTGTAATCATCAATTCCCCAGCAGAAACAAGAGGCCAAGAGAGCGCGTCCAAGCAGATAACATTCCTCTAAGGGACCGAGTAAGAAAACAATGGCACTCTCTCTTCATGTGCACAATACTGAGCTGGTAGGAGGGATTACACGTTAAGGATTTGGCAGGTCAGGCTGAGGACGGGCTCAGATGTGTGACATCACCTGTGAGATATGCTGAGTAAAACACATTCCTGCTCGCAAATGAGAAATTCCTGTAATGAGGTCTGCACTGCTGCTGGCAGCAGGCAGTTTGAGCCACAACATCTACAACGGGGAGAGCGAAATCAGGCAGTAACAGTGAGGAGGATTTCTCCCGAGCACATTTTCCTTGGAATTTATACAAGACAGATTTCAAGATAAGCTTCTGGCTTCACTGGAGTTTTGGCTCACGGGAGGAAGAACATGAAGCGACAGGAAAATAATAATCACACGAGGGGGAAAGTGTCCTAGAAGTGCAATCACTATCACTGTGCAGCAAGGCGCTCGTCTGTGAGGCAATAAAGTGAAACGAATAAAGAGAAAAAAGGGGAGGAGTGAGTTCTGGAGTGGTGACCAGCATGTCATGTGACCGAGCGTGTTCTCCAGAGAGGATCATGGAATTACAGGTGATCAGGAGCACGAGAGCACGCGCTTCATAGGATTAACAGGACTGCTCCACTGACACAGGCACACTGTGGTCACTGGTACACTGCTTTCACTTTCCAGCTCATAACCACATAAGAACACCGTTTATGTCAAGAGCCCATCTGAAGGCAATTAGTCACAAAGAATGATTCACTCAGATGCTATTATTAACAAGGTGTCGATTTCAAGGATGAGCAAGGATCAGGACGCGTCCAAAAACAAGACTCTCTCACATGCGCGCTGGTTAATGGGTCATTTTTTATTTTTGTAACGTGCTATTCAGCCTTGCTAAGTACATTTTTAGAGCGCTGATATCAACCTAAATATCTGTCCTATCACAGACGCACACTTGCCTTCTACAGTGTACAACAACATAGTGACCAGTGTTGTTAGTTCAGGACAGTTTTATTTTGTTCTGTCACATCTGTAAAAAGCGTTGGTTGGTTTTATAACATTGTTTCTAATATTTCTTATGAGTCAATAATCCGAGAAGATCAAAGTTTTATGAATTTCTATACGACTCAATATCAAAAATTTAATATTACTTGACTTAATTTAAAAAATTTATAATAATAGGACCACTTATTTTCAGAGTTCTTTTTTTGGTAAATTTGCTCTTTTCCCCCCAGGAAATTTGTCTATTTTCTCTTGTAAGCTGCCAGTTTTCCTCATCCCTGAAGAATAATGCAGAAAAATATACTTTTGGTAATTTAGAAATAGTGTTATATTATAGTTTGTCCAGCAGAGTAGCTCTCAGTCTGTTTTATAATATACTCAGCACTGTATGCAGCACATGTAGCAGAGCAGCAAGTTTTCCTGTATCTAAACAGTTAAGTTGTTAATTACTTTGTAAGGATTTGCATTGGTGCATAATTTTTGTTTTTTTTTTAAACCATATTTTTATTGATCATAAAGGTCAGAAATAACAGGAACCTGCATGAACAAATCAGGACTCTGTACCTGAACTAGTCCACAAACCAGGAGCCGGTGTGGAGCCCAGAGAAAGCCTGCATATGTTCCCAAAACTTAACATCCACCAGTTTCTGATAGTTTCACAGAAGACTGAGCGCAGAGCGAGCGAAATTCTCTAAGACGTAAAGGCTCTAATGAGGATCATAATTATAAAAGAGAGTGCGATGTGGAGCTGACAGACTTTTCCTGGCACAATGGGAAGTATCTTTAAAAACTCCTTACCGGTAAATCAACACTGACATCTGTCCCATCCAGCAGAGACACACGGCAGGTGATGATAGACGTTGCATCCCCAGCTGCAGGGATGTGCGTTGTGGCCCGCTGGGCTTCTCGTAGCCGGGCTTTCTCTGCATGTTTCCGGATGGAGCGTCGCCCCAGCGTCCTGCGCAGGAAACTTAACATGACGGGGGGAGAGGAAGGGCACCTGTACGCACCTGAAATCAAAGAGTGTATAGATTTTTTTTTTTTTAATAATTAAGGTAAAAATGTATTAGTTTTGTGTGCAGTTGGTCTGTAGTCGAGCCATGGCCGTCAGCCTAACCACGGTGGCGTGCCCACTCTCAACCTACGTTCGTACACCTCACCCTATGACCACAACTTCCAGTAGCTGTTGAAAGAATGAGATGGCAGGTAGAATCAGTGGAAATGAGCTTCCTCTGAACGGTGCTTGGGCTCTCCCTTAGAGATCGGGTGAGGAACTCTGTCACTTCAGGGTTGGGAGGAGCTCAAAGTAGAATGACTGCTCTTCCAACCTGAAAGGAGTCAGCTGAGGTGTTTCAGACATCTGACTAGGATGCCTCCTGAGTGGTTTTTAGCTAACTGGGGGGAAACCCTGTGACTGACCCACGTAAAGTGCTCCACTGAACTAGGAAATACTAAATGCCATCCCAGGAGGGCTGGATGACATGTGTGGAGAGTTCTGCTTAGACAGCTGGCAGACATCTGTGATCTAGGCTGGGATAAACAGCAGATCATGGATGGATGTCACAGTTTTACACCACAGGAACACAGGTGTGTCCTCTGGTTAGGGTGTACAGCTGCACAGGTGACACATTTTATGCTAAGCTGTCAAAAATCTGATATTCAAATACAGCTTATGTCACTTTGTATGAAGTTATGCTGCTCATTTAGTCAAGAAAACAGAACTGATAAGGTGGGGCTGTAATTACTGACGGCAGGTAACCGAGTACCTGGTGTCAAACAGATGATTTTCTTTCCATCTAACAGAATCCCCAAATAGATTATAAAGACTGATGGGAGGATTTCATCGATAAGGCGTTTTTTATATAACAATAAATCTAGAAAATAAATATGTGCGATGTTATTTGACATCAAGAAGGCAAAGTAACGTTAAGCACGCCAAAACAGAGTTAGAGTTTACGTTTTAACTTGGTCTGAAACAGCTGCTAACGGTAATCGACCTTAAGTGTGCGTATTTTTAAATATATTTTATTTTTTCCTGTGACTTCAAGTTCCTAAAAAAAAAAAAGTCCGAAACAGACCTAAGATAATTTAAAAAATCCACTGGATCAACATTAATTAATCAAATTAGCCCTAGCTTTATCGGTAACCTTACCCAGTTAAGGCCCCAAGTACCTGGTGTAAGCAAAAGCAACAGGTGTGCGTTCGTTATACCGCGCGGGCTAACCGTTAGCCACCAACGCGCTTAAGAAGTACGACTCCGACCGGGCAGGCGCGCCCCGCACAGCAAAACGAACGCCGCGTTTAGCGCCCAGAGCCGACGTACACTTGCTCCAGCAGACACTTGTGGATCCGAGGACGTCTGAATGATGGGCTACTTACAAAAACCTCCTCGCGGGAATTCACGGTGAAAGGACGCCCGCCTGCATCGCAGTCGGCTAAACAGAAGCCTCGGACATTTCCGCACTTTGTGACTTCTGGTTTTCTAATCTTCCTTTTCCTTGTTTTATTCCGCCTCGGTGCCTCTGCGGGATAATTTTCTCTACCAGGTCCCAACAAAAAGTAGGAGGCAAGCGCTCCTCCGGAAGTGACGTCACGACAAATCCCGAAGAAAGGGACTTGATTAGCATTTTTAAAGCGACACCTTTTCTTTTTTAAACTTTTCTACTCACTTGGAACGAACGAACAAACAAAAAAAGTCATTAAGCGGTCATTTTCTTTGCAATTTATATTTACTTTATTTCAGTTTCTACTTCATTTATTTATGAGAGAAGAGAAAGGGGCTGCTGAGCTGGTACACGTAAAATCAAATATGTGTAAACGTGTAACTGGAAACAGCTTGCATGCTTTTGAAAAGCTGCAGCGCTTTTAAGGATTTAACCACTCATTTAATTTTTCTGAACTCAAATTATAAAGTATGGCCACTGTTTAACAGCAGCACCCCCTACTGGTTGCTGTAGGAACTGCTGGTTCATTTAATGGAATTGGTGTGCCCAAACATTATTACTATATCTAGACAGAAAGTAATGAACGCTGTGGAAAAACGGGAAATGACCTTTTTAAGAAAAATAAAAATATCACGAGAAATTACTCTGGAAGTAAATAGGTTTAACTTTCTTGGCCCCTAGACCTAAAGAGGCACTTGGAAAGCAAACATCTCCTCTGAGAAACTGATGCAGTTTCATTTGAAATTAGAGTTTTGTTTCCTGCACATATGAATACAGCTGTGCCTTTAAATTTAGCCCATCTTTGAGGTTTTGTGGCCAGGTACACAGGCAGACTTCTGTCAAAAGGCCTTTAAAATGCTAAAACAATGCCTTATCCTGATTCATTTCTATATTATTGTGATTAAGATCTGAAAAGATTCAGCTGTCTTCAGATTTTTGCACATTAATGTTCAAAGTTTTACAGCTTTGCCACTCAAATCCAATCCCCCTGCACGTAAAAAATGGGTGAATATCACTAAACTAAGTGCATATGCACCATTTGTGCCTTTGAAATTGTGCACATGCACTGCTGCACTGCATCCTAATGCAGCACACTGACCACATGTTTGCATCTGGAACCCAAACAGATTTTTATACCCCAGAAAACTGTGAGTGACAGAAGTGGATTGGTGGCAGCGAGAGTGAAAGAGAAGGCAGCGAGATCGGCAGTGATGCAGGCGAGGAGGCAAAGATGAAGATGCTAAGACCTTCTGTTGGATAAGAAATGAGTACAGATGGTCAGGGCACGTGCAGAGGAGGGACAGTGGATACGTTGGACAAAGGATGATGAAGATGGAGCTGCCAGGCAGGAGGAAGAGAGAAAGACCTCAGAGAAGATTTGTGGATGTAGTGAAAGAGGACATGCAGAGGGTTGGTGTGACAGAGGAGGATGCTGGGATAGGAGGAGATGGAGGCAGGTGCTATACCCCAGAAAGTCTATCTATATTAACACTGTGTGCATTTGGGGTCCAACATCATTTTCACCAGCTACAACTAACAGCATCAGCACTGTGTCTCCCTTGTGTGACTGATGGCTTCACTCTACGCTTAAAACGGCACCAAATAATTCTAGTCGAGATCTTCAGCCTCCGGTCGCTCTAACGTTGCCCAACCTCACTTTTACAGTGTGGAAAAGCAAGGTGATCCGAAGCCACGTCTCCATGCTTTGACAGACAAGCTTTAATTGTTCATAATCAAGCTTATAGACATGTCCAAAGCACTGTAAAAACCAAGATACCAGAGAGGAACAAGCAACTGAGGACAAAGGATTTTATGACACAGGTAGAAGTTAACCAAGGGTATAATACGGTAAAACATTTCTCATGACGTTGTGGTTCATTATATATAACACTCGCTGTTATAGATTACCTATCAAATAAAATGAGAAAGAAAAAAAAAGTTGGAAAGGGCATTGTTGAAATACAACCATGTGTCACATTTGAATCATCCAAAGGAGAGAAAAAAATAAAAATAGAAACAAAATCTTTCTGCTCACAAATGATTTTCCCTTTTATTTTAAAGTTTTTTTTCATATACAACATTATATTTACATGTTCTAGTACTATTTACACAAAATTAGCAAGTGGCACTGTGTAGTTAGTTCTTTTTTATTCTTGATCCCTACAGGTGTCTTATTTTCAAACAAAATTTTAAAAAAGATAAATTAAAAAGAAGAACATCTGAACAATGCTTTATGCCTCATCTTTCTCTCTCAGTAGGACTACCCGCCAATCAGCCTTCTACAAAGTGCTGTCTCTTCTTCGTTATCTTTACAAAAATACACCCCGAGCCCTCCCCGCGCCCCTCCACACTACTTCAGCTCAGTAACCTTGGATACACAGACAGTACCGATTACGTGTCAACAAAAACACGTCGAACACAGACGGCTCGAATCCTCCGTCATCGACCTCTCACCGCACGTTTTCTCGTCTCATGACGAGTTTTTTGTATTTTTTTTTTTGGTGGCACTTTTAATTCTGCTGCCAAAAACAAAAGCTTCACTTCTTCCAGAGTGCACACTCACAGATGTGGGCCTGCGGCGCGTTTGTCAATAAAAGCAAAAGTTAAAAAAAATCGCCGGCCCTCCCATGACTAGCCTCAGTTTGTCCTTCTGTGGAAAACAGGCTGTTTGATACTGTACCCACGGTATTCTGCACGGATGTGTCACTCGCCTCCAGGCCATGCAGAGAGTGGGATCCATGTATAATGATCCAAAAAGAGAGGCAGCTGGGGAAAACAATGAGGAGAGAACTGTGGATGTTGCGTGGGCTCTGCAGAAATGACTGAAGTGTGTTAGGCCAATTTTGGGAGAGGGATGCAACACGGGAGAGATTAAGGAGGAGGAGGGAAGAAAGAAAAGAGTGAAGAGGAAAGCAGTTTCCAGGCTCTTCTTAATCCCACCTCTACATGTGGCCAAGGATGATTCAGCTGTTCGAAAAGGAGGCATGAGCACAAAGTGAATTGTTTCACAGGCGAAGATTCAACCAGTTTCTTTTTTAAACCACACTTCAGGAAGGCTCCCTTTCTGTTTCTTATTTTGTTTCTTTTGTCTTGTTTTTTCCAGAAACTTGAGATCAGGTTCGAGCAGGTCTGCGGCTTCACGGCTCAACCTTTCATTCCAGTTTACAGGCAAGCAGGCTGAGAGCAGACAGCTGCCAAAGTACATGTTAGAGATGGCTGAGGAACAGAGAGGGAGAGGTAACGGAGGACGAAAACCGAAAACACACATTCGTATTTTTCTCACACACACACACAACACACACACACACACAGCGGTATTGGTTTCCAGCAGAATCCGCTGCGAGAGCCGAGATGAAACTCATCGCCACACTCGAGCGCAGCAGCATCACCGGTTTTTACAAATAAAACCGACTACCTGGGTTCTGTGAAATGAAAATACGAAAATCGTTTAGTCTCACCTATAATCTAAACATGTCTTACAAAGATGAGGTATCGTTTAGGGAAAAGAGAACCAACAAAAAGGGAAATATCGGCTGAATGTTGTGTTTGTGCTGCTTCTGTAAACAACTCTCACGCACAGGCTGCTGTCAGACCTCTCACAGCGAGTTTTTCTCAGGTTAACGCTGAATCGGGTGACTGCTCAGAGTAACCACACTTCCACCTGGACTGTCAGCATGTACCCGGGTTTGCTCCGGTCTGGGCTGAAAAAACAAAAAGACTAAACGCGGGGAGATCGATGGAGGGAGCGATTAAAGTTTGCTACTATTGTGCAAACGCTGTGGGGGGTGAAAAAAAACAATACTGATTGCACAAAACTTGTAGCAGCTTTCACCCACAGATGTCTGACCCTCTACCTGTTCCTTTAAACATTAAAGACCTGTGCAAAGAAAGCAAGAACTATCTGAGTTGCATAAAGAAGACCAGTATTTCCAGCCTGAGGAAGCAAGGTCAACATATCCAGGCTTTCTTTCTCCAGGATCTCTGCTTCAGGCGCACATAAAGCATACAGACATAAAGTCTGACTCTTCTTTTGCAAAATGAAATGGACCAATTAACTCAAATGACTATATTTGATTTAGAATTTGATGTGGCCAGAGATTAGAGGTGTGAAACATGAGAGGATACTGCAGGAGACGTGGCAATCACTTTCGTTTCGTGGCCAATCGAACATTCCTGAAGAATTTTCTAATCGTCTTCACTTCCCGCAGTGTAATTTAAAAAAACCTTAATCACCAAATGAACACATTCAAATTCATTGCAGCAGAGTTTATGTTGCTGTAGCTTCACATCTGTAACTGGGCTCTACAGGTTGCATATATAAAACATGAATGGCGTTTTCAGGTAGACAGTGAGGAAAATGTGGCGCTTCCTGATGATTTGAAGCCAAAACACTGACATGACCTGCTCGGACCGGGTTCAGCAGAAGGTACCGCCCGGCGGGATCCAGCTCGGTTAAAAGAAACCATCTTTGTCACGATGAAGACTTCAGGCTCCACATTAATCCTAATCCACGGTGCGCCCCTCTGGTCGGAGGGACGCTGTCCGGCTCGAGGACACCGGGGTTTTTAGTGAGAAGCGAATCGATGCAGGAGCGTGAAAGTGAGCGAAAGCGGACGGGAGCTGTGGTGACGAGGATCAAAACCCCCGCCAAACGACGTCCACGTGTGCGTCTGTGGGCTCAAACACGCCGCTCACAGAAGGATCGAGTACCAAACTCTCCCCAGCGCCGAACGAGAGGCGAGACGAGAAAGATCAAAGCAAGTACAATAAATTAAATCACTGTTGTTGTTTTTGCCCCCCCCCAAACCACAAAAATCAAAAGAAATAAAGAAGTAGTTCGAAGAAGAGGAATCACACTACTTTACTACCTAAGATTTAATCAGGAAAGCATGAAGCTCTAGACTTGTACAAACAAAACATACAGCGTTTTTTTGTTCAGTGGACAGGGTTTGACACAAACTAAAACACAATAAATACTCTGAGGAACAAAAGATAAGGTTTTTCTCTTTATCTGCTAAAAGGACACTAAAAAAAAAAAAAGGCAGGTCCGTCTGGCAGACTCACTCCGAAGGGGACAGGGCAACCCTTTGGGACTTAAAAAAACTAAAATAATAAGAGAGAGAGGGGAGGCTTTCCATCCACAGTGGCCGCCCTTCCCCTTCGTACTTATGGCACTACAGCAACTCCCCATCCACGTTTTATCATCTCGTTCATTCTTTGATTCTTCTTTTCGTTACCCTGAACATCAACTCCCCCTAAAGGTACCTGTTCGACACAGCTGGGTTTTTTAACTCATCACGTCCAAAGGTTTTCATGTCAGTTTGTCTGTTCGTTTCATTTTTTGTCAGCTTAAAGTGCAACAGTGCTTTTGTTCTCTCGTCCGGCCTCCTCCCGGTGAGCCCCGCCCACCCACGTCACGGGTTAGCGGGATCGGGGTTCGCGCTGGTCTCGCTCGTCGCGCTGGTGGCACTGGCGACGCTCGGCTCCTCCACTTCCTCCTCCTCCTCTTCTTCCTCCCCCTCTTCTGTCACTTCTCCCACATCCAGCACCTCGACTTCGTCGTCATCCTCTCCGTCCAGCTCTTCTTCCAGCATCTCCACCTTGGCCGCCTCCCCTTTCTCTGCCGTCGCCGCCTCGTCTCGCTCCTCTCCCGCTTTCTGCTGCTCTTTGCGCTCCTCCTCCTTCTCGTCGGCCGCCTTCTCTCTCTGCTGGTAGAGGGCCGTCTTCAGCGGCTTGAACAGGTCTTCCTCGTAGACCTTGAGGATGGCCTCGCACACGAAGCGGTACTGGCTCTGAAAAGAAAAGCGGAGGCAGCGTTTAAGCTTTTAAAGTTTACAGCGTCGGAGAGCAAGCGGACGGTGCTGCGTACGCACAGGCGTCTGTATCATCATGGCCCGCTGATCTCTCATGGTCTTGACAATTTCTAGAGGATACACCGGCTGACCGCACTCCATCAGACACAGCGCCGTCTCCATGGTGATCAGAACGCCCGTCCGACCAATCCCAGCGCTGGAAAAAAATCAAGATCATTTGATTGTTAATAACACACACTAATTATTTAACGAAGTAACAAAAATCTCTGTAAGGAGCAAATAAGCTAAATTCCAACAATTCTGAGACTTTATGGATATCATTTGTGCGCTATATTGTCACGGTACTGCCCACGCTGTGAAGGAGGCGGGACTTAAGGTATAACAAATTGCCCTGAAGGAAGTAATGAGGGGCAGGTGAGAGGTGTTCAAACATTTGAGACCTGGGAAAGGAGAGAAATCACTTTCTGGTAACGGAAACTGGAACTTTTCTTGGAAGTAAACCTGTTTGGTAGAGTCACTCGTTTCACTACATCCATCGTTTCCAGCTCAGACAGGTTAACTTTTATCCTGTAATCTTTGGCTCGCCATGGTCACATGGTTCACACAGAATGGCCGTACCTGCAGTGCACCACCATTGGCTGGTCCTGTCCAGCCCGTTTGGTCCGTACGAGAGCCACAAAGTCCAGGAAATCAGTGGAGTCGTCGGGAACGCCGTGGTCGGGCCAAGCCACGTACTGAATCTGAGTGATTTCCCTCTTTTGCTCGCTCTGAACACACACACACACACACACACACACACACACACACACACACACACACA